TCTTTCATTTTCACCACAAAAAAACGAAATTACTTTCCGAACAACCCAAATAGTTCGACTGCTCGAACTTATCACTACTATTCCAATAATATTCCATTGTTTACAGATTAATCATCTATTTTCTCAAACGGAGGATTAAGGACTTAATAAATCTCGAAGATCCTTGAGTTCCTGCTGCAACTAGCCTTCGTCTTTCCCGACTTATCGCTTCCCATCAATCTACAACAGTCATCGCCTATCACGATCCTACAACAACCTCCGTCTTCCTTGTCAACGCCTTCTACGATCCTACAAAGGTTTTCCAGTTTCCTGACGACACCTTCTACGAACCAGTGACAACTATCCTAATGATTTAAAAGACTACAGTTTAAAAAGTGACATTATAATATTGTTACGCCCTTGATGCCCGCGCTTTTAGCGCTCTGAACGTACAGCTGATTCTCTTGGCAACGAGTCGTAAACAACAGATGATCAGCGTTGACGGATAAACAACGGGTTTGAGAGATTCTATCTGGGGCGGTCGAGTCGTCGTGACGACGTGTGCAACGGTCTTTTATTAAAGAGAGAGCTTGAGCCTGCGAGTTACGCGTGCTTCCTTGTAAATAGCAAATATATAGTGGAAGTTGTTTCCCACTTAACGTTGTCTCGTTTTATTTCCCCGCGCGAGCGTAACAATATTAATATTGTAATATTGTAATATTAATTCAATACAGAACAAGCAGTGAAGACCCATTATTGCACCCTATGGGTTAACTTGACATGAGCCCTTATTCTTGAATTTGTATTGAATGCGGTATTATGTTTACGCACGTTGCGAACGGTAAAAATACGCATACGTTTCTGATATTTGTTCTCGAACATTATTTTATGGATGTTTAGAGTAGTAAGTATTCTTCCAGTAAATATTTGCTAAGGGATGTTGGAGTAGTTTACTTTATTTGGATTAAGCACATATTACTTGAATGTAACACTTTTTTTCTCTCAGTGTGCTACGTTACAAGTAATATTTACTTAATCCAAATAAAACAAACTACTCCAATATTCTTTAGCAAATATTTACTTGAACATAGCAATTTTTTCTCAGTGTATATAAATTCTATGTACAGCTCCCTTTTTGTGGCCTTTTCAAATTTCATTATCCGTAATATATATTGTGTGTTCGAAGTTCTGCGAAGATTATCATCGTCTGAATCGATCAAATGTCATTTTGTGAATACATCTTTTTATTCGAACGTATAGTAACGCAAAAATTCTTGACATGCGTTTTCTCGCTTCTGACGTCATTAAACAAGGACGAATAGTCAGGAGTCTTAAAATCAATTCTCGAGATCTTTCGAGAAGAGTTTTCGAGAGAGAAAAAGAGACAGAAAAAGGCAGAATATAATTATGTGAAGCGCGTACTACCATACGAAAAAGAAGAGAAGACTTCAGTCAACTAAAAATACTTTCGCTGCAACCAGTGTAGTTTTAATTTCATGTACGAGACGTCTGCTAACGGGAACCTGCATTTGACGAACAGGAGGATGTTTCTGGTCTCGAAAACTGAAGAACAGATCGTTCGTTCGACACGAAAGCAGTGACGTTTATTCTCTCGCCTCGTTCGAGCGAGCGAGCGAACGACCGATCAAAGAAAGAGAGAGATAGAAAACCACAGAGTTTTTAGCGAATTGCATTATGGTCGCATGCACCAAATGCGTCCCTATTATTACCGAACAATATGCACGATGAGAAAAAAAAAGAGAGAGAGAGAAAGAACATGATCGTGAAATATCCGGACGCGTCTCGCTGCTTGGCTTTCACAGAAAGCATATCTCCACGCGGCGACGAATGAATATATAATACGAGAGCTGGATGAGCTTAATGAGACACATTGTACAACAAAGAGAAGTATGGCCTGTCGCGCAGCACGGACAACAACGCGGTTCTGCTCAGACGACAGCGAAAATTAGCCCCGCAAATGAACACCTTGGATGGCCCGATTACTCGACGTGAGTCGCAAACTGCGCCGAACAACAACACGGATTAACAACACAGCGGGTAACGATATATATATATATATATATAGATTTAAATATTAGACATATATATATATATATATATATATATA